TCATGGAATGTTAAACTAGGACTGACCACAGTGAAACTCTGAAACTCTGCATTCTTGGTTAGTATTTAAAAGGCTCGTCAATGATTCTTAAATGTGTCATTAGTGGCTAATTCGAATGAATTTGTATGATCTCATTTGTACAATTTAGTATGATTGTTTATCCTCCAATGACATTTGGGTTTAGGGGTGGGGTTTGGTGACACGCCTCCTTTTTAAAACTTTACATTTTTGTATTACTAAACTCGTAGGTATTAGCCACTAAACTGATAAACGGTAAAATAGTAAAGTTTCCTCGTGAGATCAGGCTGGCCATTCTAAATTACTGCAAGGGGGCTACTATAAATGCTTTTTACTGCTTGTTCAAACTACTTACATAAAATGAGCTGAATCAACACAATTCTTAAAGTTTTTTTGGGGGGGATAACTTAATAGTTTTATGTTGAATCCACTAAAACTGGTAATAACAATTAGGTTAACTTAATCAATTTATGTTGAGACATCGTGAAGGAATAGTGTGGAACCCTGCATTTTTACAGTGTATGTTTTTTTTTTTTTTTTACAAAGGGAGTTATTCCAAAAAATTTACAAAATGGCCTTATATTATAAATATACTTTAATATTTAAAAAAATACTTGATCTTATTTGATTATTTAGCATTTTATTTTTAACCTATATTAAATATGGTAAATAAAATATTTGACTTTAGATGTACAACAAATTTCGCTGTGTCACATTTCACCATTTTATGTGGACAGATATTATCATGATAAAAATTATGTAACGTCTTTTCACTGATATCAAAAATATCCTAAGTAACAGGAAAATAAAACATAAACATGAAAATATAAATATGTAAAATTATCAAACACTTTTCCCTTCAAAAAATGTATTAAAAAAATAAATGTAAACAATTACAATTCCTGCATGAATATTGAAACTAAGTGATGACTTCTAGTTGAAAATATAAAGCAATAGTGAGTTGGCCATATCCACTTATTTACATTTCACGGTATATACCAAATGAAAAAAATTTTTACGGTACACTAGACATGGGCCGATATAAGATTCTAACAGTATGATAACCTTGAATTAAAATATCACGGTTTCACGGTATTGTGCTCACTTCTCTAAAATATATTCTTTTTAAATGTCTGGGTAAAAAACAAAAACTTTTTTCCTCTTTGAAATCATCCATTCATTTATTTTCTTTTTGGCTTAGTCCCGTAATTAATTTGGGATCGGCACAGCGGAATGAACCACCAACTTATCCAGCATATTATGTTTTATGCAGTGGATGCCCTTCCAGCTGCATACCATCTCTGGAAAACCTGTAAAATCAATATATTTTATTTTTTTAAAGATTTATAATAGTTTGTAACTGTAAACACATCAGGCTAAATAATTCAAAAGATTAATTGACTTCTGCTGTCTTCAATTGTATCAAAAACACTGAATGTTTTTACAATTTAAAATGCTATTTTTGGATATTTTTTTCTGCTGAAGTTATTGTTGTCCTAAAAATCAAACAAAAAGAAGGAAAAAAAAAAATCTTACACATACCTTGGGTGTATTGCAGAAAATTTTGGCGGTTTTAAAACCCTGACTTATCCAAACCGATGTATTCCTTGAAAACGGTTATCATCCCATACCTATGGCACACATTTTTTTCCACGGTAGGGTTGGGCCGATCCGCTTGTTAAATGTGACGTCACGCGAAGCGGCTTTCGGGTCCAAGCGCTCTGTTTAACTGAATGGGGAGACTCATGAAATAGTAATAATAAACATTTACAAAGTGATTTAAGGCTTTCGAAAATCACGATCGCAATATATATGTCCATGCCTAATATCCAATGGCCAGAAAGTGATTAATTTTTTATAAAATGTAAAATTTGTGGTGTTTGTTATGCAGCAAGCCCAGAGATTGTTGTGTACACTATGATTTTATATAAAATTAACTTTAATGTGTGATAGGAATAAAACGTGATCATAAACAAATGATTTCTCCACTCAAATGAATGGCGGCTTGGACCCGGAAACAGTATTACATACGTCACAAACACGTCACCACTTAACAAGCGGATAGAAAACATGATGCTGAGGCAACATCTCTGATCCTCTGCCCCACCCCGTCGCAAACCTGCTTGCGAAAAATACACACTTAGGCCCTATTTACACTAATACGTCTTAGTATTAAAATGGCATTTTAGAATGAAAATAATCCACATCCACACCGTGTTTAACCTAGCATTTCCGAACAGTCTGCTGAAAACGCGCATCACTTGACCACACACACACACACACACACACACACACACACACACACACACACACACACACACACACACACACACACACACACACACACACACACACACACACACACACACACACACACACACACACACAGTCATGCGCTCGTCTGAGGAGCTCCAGAGAGCAGTGCACGTCCGACAGTTTATCAAGGATGTACCACTGGATGGCGTCTCACTTTAGTTGTTAATACAGTTGAACAGTCTTTCACTTTACCACTACTTATTAATTTTAGTAAAAACCTCAGATATTGTTAATTGTGCACCTTTTTTACTGATCAACCTCCCGCGGAAAAAGTGATTGACAGGTGGTAATTTGTGTAAAACTTATCTTTATTTATTTATGATTTGTTTATGAGTAAAATAAAGACCATGCGGGTCAGGTAGTTGAAATGGTAGACTACAAATAAATTATTCATTATGGATTAACTAATTATTCAGAAATAATTAATTTACCTCAGCCTATGATGTCGATGCTATTGTCCATTGCAGTGTCTCACATTAGACATCTTACAATGCCAAATTGGTCGACATCGTCCAACCCTATTCCACAGTAATAATATGTTTTATTTTTACGCACAGCCCTACCCTTAAAATTTGCATAAAAATATTATTATTATTATTAATATTAGATAATAAATAATTTAACCTTCAAAATTGTAACAAAAGTTAGTGCTGCAATAATGATAATACCATATTCATCAATTCTATAAAGACAACAACGATAAAAAACCCAAATAAAGTTATTGAATATAATTTAATTTCACAATTCAAAATAAAAGTCTGTATTTATATAATATGCGAGTAGCATTTATATTTGTTTATAGATTAATACGCACAGATTAGAGCTGCTTCAGGATTTATATTCACATCATGTGTAGTGTAGAGTCTGGGTTATAATTTATCATTTCATGAGTGTTATTGTAGCCTTTGACTGTGTAAGGGTTTTAAAAGCATTGAGGCCTATGAATGTACCATTTGTAACTTTGACAAGTTAATAATGATTCATTTTATTGAATTGTTTATAACGAAGACTATAAGGTATTATTTTACATTTGATTATTCAATTACTGTATACCTGTAACTGTTACAATAAAACAACAAAACAAAGTTTTTTATTTATTTATATATTTTCCTTTATTGTATTTATCTTGTAGATTTTTGTATTATATTTTATGCACTCCTATACAGAATCATGCCAATCAATCTAAAATTATAAATTCTTTTTAAATGGTTATTCAACTCCTCATGTAGCGATACATAAATCGCAGAATAAATAAATACTGCAATGTAAGTTTATTTTCAATATCGTGCAGAAATAACAAAAATACAAAACTAAAATATTTACTTAGAAATCATTTGTGTTATATATATATAAATATTTGCTAGATAGTTATAATTAAAGATTTAAACATGTATACATTCAAAGGCTGCATAATGAATATGCACAGTACACAATCATATATTATGTAAATACAAACGGTTATTTTGGACTTGATTAATCATTTGACAGCACTGTTATGATTTCTAAAGTCTGCATTTGGTGACGCGGTGGCACAGTAGGTTCGAGCCTTGTTGGGTCAGTCGAAATATCTGCGTGGAGTTTGCATGTTCTCCCCGCGTTCGGTTTCCAGTGATGGGTTGCAGCTGGAAGGGCATCAGCTGCGTAAAAACGTGCTGGACAAGTTGGCGGTTCATTTCGCTGTGGCGACCCTAGATTAATAAAGGGACTAAGCCAAAAGGAAAAGGAATGAATGAATGAATGAAAGTCTGCATTCTGGAATGGGAATGCTTCTCTGATTGGCTTAGGCAAAATATACTTAGCCACAGCCCACAAACTGTTCATTTGCTGACAGTGATAGATTAAAGGAGGAGCTCAAAAATAAAACCCACAAATTTGATGTGCAAAAATGACTAATTGTTTTGAAAAGTGCATTAACTGTTGTGCAAATATAAATAGTGTTGTGATAAATGCACCAAAGTGACTGAGAGAAACTCCAATAATAATAAACATGATAATAACTGCTATTTGCTTTAAATTTGTTGCAGTCAGATTTAATAGGCAGTACATTTTGTAAAAAAACTAAATGAAAGTACTATACACTCAGTGACTAAAAGAAATACTGATGCTAAGGGACACAGGACCAGATTAATCTTTCATCAGCCGCTGTCCACTCCAGTGAACAAAAGTAAAAACAAAACTGTCCATGAAATAATTAAAAATCTCCCATTTTGATCTTGTTGTGCTTTTAATCTAGAAAGTTCCTATGCAAGAACAGCCACATACGACTTCAACAACAAAACAAGACAAGATGTACCATAAACCCCAGTTATATAGATAACAAACCATCCAAATATCTCAGAAATAAAATCATTCAGACACAGCTGTCTCATCAGTGATTCAGCATCTCTAGCCAGCTAAAGTCAGACCACATTACTCTTACGCTTTTTCTTTACGGTTTCCTCCAACTACACATTTAAACAATGAAATAACTGCCATAACAAATATTTAAATGTCGTTTTTCATCAAATGTCAAAAAGACTACTGTTAGCATTAGCGTACTGTACATGTCACTGTTTATTTTACGTGTTTGTAACACAACACTGAAACAGTCATCCTACTTTGCACAAAACACACGTCCAAAGAGCACATGATTATAAATATATAACATTAACGCAGGCATTACATACCTGTTCCGAGAATGACAACATCAAATTGAGACGGGAGATCCTCCGCAGCCATCTTGAAACCACACACACTGTCACGTGACACACAGCAGCCTGACGTAAACTTCTGGGTTAAAAAAAAACCTTGATATTTAAGCACGACAGCAGCTTTAAAAACGCAACATAATGCTTTATAAGCTAAATATTTAAGCTATTGATTTACTAACTAACACAGTGACGGCCGGTTCATAAATATAAAAGCAGTTATTAATAATTTCAGTTGTAACATAGATCAGTTCCCAAACCTTTTGCTGTTTGCATCCCTTTCTAATATTTGACACCTGCCAAGCACCCCTTTTCTATTTTCTTTATATGTGATTAAAATAAAAACAAGCTTTTATGAACTTGACAATTTCACATTAAGAACCAATAAAAGTTCATCAGGCATTTTTTTAATTGCTAGAGCTTCTTTGTGGATGTGGCACATAGATATATACATATATAGCCTATCTATGGATGTGGCAGTGTACTCAGGAAACCAATGTTGCAACTTTTTACTGCTCCTGTGTGCCTATTTTTCTTCTTCTGCAGTTCCTCCAATTTTCCTTAAAAAAACGTACAGGCATGTTTTGTAAGTGGCTGTGTCTTGTTTGTTAGTGCCGGACCATATATGACGCTAAGACTGCTATTAGCTAAAACCACCACAGACTGATTTGGATGTTGGTTTCCTGCATCTCCAATCGCATGCAAAATCTCTCTATATTTGGGTTTCTTACTTAACATTTTCTCACTCTCTAGCAAAGGCCTAATTCTCTTCATTAGTACATCTCTGCTGGATTCCTCTGTTTCCGCCTGCGCCTCTTCACGTTGTTGGTTATCCTTCGAGTCCATGTATTCAAGGCCGCTACACATCTTTATGGAAGAGGTCGATGTAGATGGTTCATCCCTACTGTCGCTTGACTTCTTTAAAGTGCCAGTTTTTAACCAGGTGTCCATTTTGATGAATATAGTAAGTGGAAAAAACTTTACGAATGGAAAAAATGGAAATGGAATGGAAAAAATTGTGAATTTAGTCTACTATCATTTAGCGCCTATGGGAACATGTGGGCTTTTGTGACATACTTGAAACTGCGAGATGAGTGAGTATGCATAGGTTGTAAATTACAATTTGTAATGTGATTTTTTCTCTCAGTGAATTTGTTTTCTCTCAAAAATATGACATTTTTAGTTTACCCAAAAGAAATGCATGAAAATAATAAAATATAAATTTTTTCACCATTACAAACGTTCTCTCGCGCACCCCTGGTGGTCAGAATGTCCACCCCAGTTTGGGAACTATTTTTCAACTGAGAAGTTACGTCTAAAAAATTGCAATCTAAGAAGTTATTTCATGCCCAATGAAAAGTTCTATGATCTTTTCTTAAAACCAAAGCAAGTTCAAAATATCCAGCTTATGACACCTTCGTAGCAAGATTGAAAAGAGAAAGGAGTTCTTTAAATTTGATAAAAATGACACTTTTTTTTCTTCGCCGATGGCTTATGTTCCCAGCTGCTGTCAACAACAGAATATTGTTTCTTCAAATAGCAGTAGTTGGCAAGAGGTGTTAATGATGAGCTGTCAAAATACCCTTCTGGCTTAAAAGGCACTGACAGCCAGCTATCAAGATGCATTTAAAACAAAAACACATCTTAAGACCCCTAACTGTTCATTATTAGAAAAATTAAAGTTGAGTTCAACAATAGCCTATCTGATATGTGTTTAAATACTGAAATGACAAAGGAAATATGATTTTTAAGTGGCAAAGGTATTAAAAAGCTTCTTTTTACAGCATTTGATTTTTATTCTTTTTTTTTTTTTGGCTAAGTTAATTCATTAATCTGGGGTTGCTACAGCGGAATGAACCGCCAACTTATCCAGCATATGTTTTATCAGTCATTTTTACTGAAATGCCATTACACTGATTTAAAACAGCCTGTATAACCTAACTAGAAGAAACATAATTTAGTTTAATTAACCTAAAATCATATGTTGTCATGACTTATTGATTAACTGCACAAAAAAGGGAACACTTGGAGTTAAATGTGTTGTTTAAGTGTTCCATTTATTTATTTGAGCAGTTTTTTTTTTTTCATAATTTATAAGTTTTCTTATTTCTCATTGAAAGTAGTTTGGATTTATTCTGTTGATGTTTTTAGTTAGTTTTGACAACCTAAGATTTGAGACCAGATACTAAATTTTACAAATTTGTTTCTTTGAAGGTGTCCTTGTTTCAGTTTAACTAATTTTACTAATGATGAGCAATAATATTTAATTGCACGTACTTCCTATGGTTAAGATCAGGGTGAGGGTTAGGTCTAGGATTGGATAAATGTAATTATGCAAAACAAATTGTATTTACCATAGTAAGTACAAAATGCAATGACAAAAAGTAAATAATTTAATGTTGCTTTATCTTGTTTTAACATGTTAACCACGTTTCAAATACATTTTTACAAAGTTAAACTTAATATTTTTAGTTAGTTTGATTGATGATAGTTGAGATTAGAAAAGTTAAGTAACCAATTAATTACTGGCTTTCTTACTTAAATGTAAGGCAGAAAGATTTTTTTACGGTGTGGAACAAGTGCAACAACACTGTAAAAAAATGATTTGTTCACTAAACTTAACTTAGTTAAGTCATCTTGTTGCATTGACTTGGTTAAGCTTACTGTAAAAAATAAATCCGTAAAATTTACGGTAAAAAAACGGCAGCTGTGGTTGCCAGTACTTTACCGTTAAAAACACGGTATAAACCATAAAAGTAATTTTTAATTTTTGCGGTAAATTACCGTATTTTATTCATTAATAGAGGTAATATGTCTGTATTTTGAATGATCAACATCTACACATCTTTTGTTACACAGTTAGACACATTAACACACCCACATGCAGGTGGTGATGAGGAAGTTACATCAATGCTCATCACAATTCACTTTTTTCACAAGCAGAAAAGAGTATCAGCACATAGAAGGTGCTCAGTGTCATCCACACAGCTACTAAACACCAGAATGGTAACACACATAAAATTAAAGTCATGAAATAAACATTGTTTATCAACATTAGATGTAACATAAATATCTAATGTACATAACTGATGGGAAAACAACTAAAAAGATCCAGATTAATGTCAACCAAATGCATAAAAAATTATTTGCCATGCAAGGAATTCGGGGAAAGTCAATTTACGGTTATTCGCCGTATATATTAAGGAAACATACCGTTAACCAGGTTACAGATTTTTACTGTAGCATTTTTACAGATTTTTACCGTTGAAATCACGACCATTTTTTACAGTAAGTTTTCTCAACCTAAAATGTTTCGTTGACAGAGTTAAATAATTGACCCAACTACTTATTTCAAGTTAACTGGACTTGCAAAGTTCCGTTTTAATAGGTTAACTCACATTATTAAGTTATCAGAACTTGACAAGTTTAATTACGTTAACTTACATTTTCAAGTTCACTAAACTTAATAAGATATTTTCTCAATTAGAAACAGAACATACAACAAAATACATTACACATTTTATTAAAGGTCTTTACTGCCAATTTAGCAATTACACAAAATGTACTTAATATACAGTAATTGTCTTTACAAAGTTTTGTTCTTATAAAGTCATTTTTACAAAGTAAAAGTAATCTCAAAAGTCAAGTAAAAGTAATCTCAAGAGGAGAAAAAATAGATAAAAAGAACTGTAAAACTCTAAAATACACAACTAACACATGGCTCTTGGGGAAAAAATGACACCAGACCTTAAATATAAAATATAAAATCTGATCTCAAAACTTTTATTTCAATGTATTTTTAGGTGAGTGTACTCTTGCCCTGCACATTTCTGCTCCAGTGTTCATCGATGGTTTCTGATTTACACGAGTCCTCCCTCGGCTCAGCTGTTCTTTAGAATCTGTGTGCTGTATGCAAAATGGCAAAAAATAAAAAGATTTTTACATTCCTTTCTTTACATTAAAAAATTGATTATATATAACTACTGTACATTTATGAATAAAAATACTAGTAAAATATCACCTTTAATAAGTCAGTATGCTCTCTGGGAACAACCTTTAAAATTAGAAAAGTACTTGTAGCAAATTAGAGAGGGAATTAGAAAAGTGTTATTATTTATACAAATATTGAGATATTGCAAATTCAAACCTAAAACAAACTTTACCAAGCTACCAAACTCCACCTGCATTAGCAAAGGCTTAATCTGCTCTAGAAACATTTACCTGAAAAAAATACATTGAGAATCAGTTCATTTCATTTTACAAGTTAAAACACAACTTTAAAGAAACATTATTTACCAATTATTTACTTAACAATTAAAATATCTGCGGAAAAATATCCCATACGTCTGACTTTTTCTGGTGTTTAACTGGCAGTTAGCAAACTGACTTAATGGTGCATATTCCACCACCTGCTGGATTGGAACTATGGGGTGCAACTTAAAGAATGGTGGTTCGGCATAATGTTTTTAAGCTGAGTTGACAAACACTCTATTACGGACTAGTTGAGACTATAGACACTGTAAACGATATGGACATAGTATCCGTGACATCACCCTTAGGTTTCTGAAGAACCCAAAACCTATCAATAGGCGTGGCCAACCATCGCCATTTTGTTCGCGCATCATAATCTTAAATAAAACAAATACATTTATAGAGATGGTATATAAGTATATAATTTTACTCACCTGGGTTAAATGGTTTTAAACCTCACTTAAATGGTTTAAGAGCACAATTGCATCTCTGGGAAACATCCATACACACACCCATACACTACGGACAATTTAACCTACCCAATTAAACTGTACCACATGTCTTTGGACTGTGGGAGAAAACGGAGCACCCAGAGGAAACCCACGCCAACGCAGGGAGAACATGCAAACTCCACACAGAAAAGCCAACTGAGCCGAGGCTCGAACAAGCAGCCCAGCAACCTTCTTGCTGTGAGGCGACAGCACTACCTACTGCGCCACTGCGTCGTCATTATCTGATAATTGTAAGAAATAATTCCAAAAGGCAACTGACTGTATAAAACCACAAAAAAACACAAAA